GAGGTGTCAGAGCCCAGAGGCGCGGCAGTGTGTGTGTGTGTGTGTGTGTGTGTGTGTGTGTGTGTGTGTGTGTGTGTGTGTGTGTGTGTGTGTGATTGATGCCTGCTGAGTGGGTGCCATCATCAGCCACATATCCACAACCTCCCCAGAGCTCTCCACGAATAATGATTTCTTTATTTAACATACGCACCTTCCCCCCCCAAGAAAACAAAAAAGCATGATACTGATTCTTATTTTATCCAAGCTCCATCACTTTAGCTGCTGCTGGAAAGGGAATCATGTGACAAACAGACAATTGTAACGATGGTTTAATTTTCCCTGTGGATAAATAATGTCAGTCGGTGTTTTTGTGTGAGGCAGCACAGAAAGACAAGAGGCTCTTCCACGCACTGGCTCCAGCTTTCTTCCTCACAGGGGCATGGTTAATCGTCGTTGCAAGCAAACATTTGACCTAATTCACATTCTCACACAATAGCAGCCCCCCCTACCACCACCACCCATCTCCCTCTCTCTCTCTCTCTCATACACACACACACACACACACGGCTGTTATTTGTGTCACACAGAGGGTGAGGTTTTTGCTCCACATGAACTCCCAGGTGGTTTATCCAAACCTGAGCAGATTGGCAGAGAGGCCACTGCTGGCTGGCTGGGCTTGTTTCAGAGCAGCTCCAGTTTTATTAATAATGAACACACGTGTAAATGCAGATGTTCCAAGAAAATTAAAGGCCTATTTCACTGCTATTGATTTTTCAAGGGGCCTTAATATCCTAGTTTATCAGCATTGAACCATAATTCCTCGTGGGACTTTATGGTCTATCAGAAATCATGCATGTGTATTTTATTGTTTGAAAGAGTTTCAGTAGAAGCATTTGTTTTGTTTATGTTTTTGTCGTTAAAATGTGTCATCCAGCATGTTCCGGTTTTCCTTTGAAAAATATTTAATTGTTGATCCAAGTCAACAGGTGATCAGCTGATTTGTCATTCATCCAGTTGTTTTCCCGATTGATGGTTGAATCAATTATGGTAAATAAAACAAAACTTCATGACGATTTCTTCAAATTTTTTTGTGTGATGATTGAGTTCAAGATATAGTTTAAAATTTAAAATTCAAGAGGCTGGAAGCATAAAATGACAACCCATAAACTAATCAGTTAATCAATTAATCAATTTATGTCGCCATAAATTCAACATTTATTATATTTTGGTTCATTGGTGGAAGATACAAGTCATTTGATGATATTGTTTTGTGCTTTAGGAAACTGACGGACATTTGTAACTGGTCTCTGGTTCTTCAAAACAAATGATTCATTGAATGATCAAGTAAATAATCAGCACATATATTACTGAAGTCCACCGCAGCAGCCACAGGGTCAACTCCAGTTTGCGGCTCCTAGTCTTCCCTACTGTCTCTCCCTTCCACATTTAAGATGCCTCATTAATAAAGACAAAAATACCAAAATAATACCTTTTAAAAAACGAATTGATTCTGAAAAGAATCAGTAATTGCAGCTCTAGTCTACCGAGTGAATCTAGATGAGAAAAATATACAAAACTAAAAAGTATCAAGGCTCAATGGTGTACTTACTATAGTATCTGGATCGATGATGCTTTCGTTTTCCTCAGCGCTCGTGTGTGAGCGGCCTCCTGCTCTGTGACACACTCTCGGGGCAACACCTGGTAAAACTGGTTTTGGAGGAAGTGCTGGTAGATGGTGACGAGCACAGCGAGCACCACAGGCAGGTTGGTGCTGCTGCTGGTGCTGCTGCTGCTGGTGGTGGTGGGGGGCCTTCTGTGGAGAGCAGCCGGCGGAGGGCCGTTTCTTGCTCTTGCTCTGAGCACCACGTCCAATTGGTTGGCTCAGATGAGGCAGCTCTAGGGCCAGAGATTACACTGCAGTGCTGAGGCGTCACTCTGGCTGAACACCGCAGGCGGAGGCAGGGGGATCGAGGCAGAGAAGAATGGGTGGGGAGGTAAGGACTCGCAGGGAAGGAAGCCTCTTCTCATCATCTGCTTTCAGCGTCTTCAAACACCTGCCACTGGACTCCCACGCACATCTTCTTCCTCCCCTCCTCCCTCCTTTCTTTTCCTCCACACCTACACCTTTCCCCTCTCTTCTCTCTCATTACCCTCTCCGTCTCCACACTCCGCGGCTCTGTCGTCAAATCAGCACAGATATAATTACACAGTTGCAACTGTGAATGAAATGATGGTTGCATCATATAGGTGCATGAGGTACTTTATATCCTGCTGGTGTAGCTGCCGGCTGAGGTGAAGCCCCGGTGAATGGATGAGAGGCATTGAAAGCATGTCGCTGTAAATCACGTTGGACACGTTGTCTGTCTGCTCTCAGAACACACTAACTGGTTTTGACAGAGTTGATGTACAAACATGCTCACTGCTGTAATCTCTTTATTAATCACTCTCTTAAACCAGTAATTATATCGGATATCCACTATTAGAATATGACTTATTGATGAATCTGGTTATTTTTGAACTAGAATAACACTTTTGAGTTGAGTTTATATCTCCACCGAAGCCAAACAATCTGAAATATGCTTTTCATTTTCATTTTCTGTGCTGTATAAATAAACTTGCCTTGCCTGATGAGAAATTTACAGAAATGATGAAACATGCTCTCACAATGTAAAGAAAAGAAAAAAGGATTTGTTTCTCTACCTGGATCTGTGACCAGATTCAACGACTTCTTCTGAAGCTCGATTCCTTCCAAGTTTGGTTCAGTTCTTTGTTTTGTAATTCTGCTGCTTCAAACAAACAGACGGGGGTGAAATCGTGACCGAAGTGGTTCATTAGAATTAGGAAACAAAGCAGATGTTTCTGGTCACGATTCCCTGACGTCCATGCACAATTTTCAATTTCCTGCAAAGTTTCATGGAGACAACAGTTAAAAAAGTATATTTTAAAACATTTAAAACAAATAAACTTATGCTATATCAGCAAATCTGTAAGTTATGACTGTGTAGACGGAGCTCGGTGAGATTTGAAGAGTTGATTAGGAGGAGATTTTAGTCAATTTATGCTCAAGCACTTGTGGTTGTGGTGTTTTTACAACTGGATATTGACTCATTTTGAGACTCCAGAGATTATTTTATGCTTTGATCAATATGGCTGCGACACACACTGGTGACCAGGTCCAGGGTGTTCCCCACCACAATGCCAGCTCAGACTGGCTCCAGCCCCCAATGGACCCTGTCAGACTTAATGGAACAGACAGTGGATGGATGGATATGATCAATGTGGTGGCCTTGGCTGAAACAAAAAACTGTGAATTCATGTGCTCCTCAGAAATTGTCAAATTACTCCGAGTTGTGAAGTAATTGTTCCAACTTCAGAGTGTTTTCTTGTGCTCTGAAGTGTGCAAAGTCAACGGATCAGGGCTGAGAGGCATATAAATAATTTAGAATCACAAACACCTCTGTATTAGGACATGCAGTATGCAAACGACAAAATGTGCAACAATTAAAGATTTTCTTCTGATTATTTCTGACACCACATGAGCTCAAAATCAAGCAATGATTGATGTCAGGATGTAGAACAACGTGCTTCTGTCCAGATGTTGAGTGTAATTTTATTTTGTAGTCTGGGATTTTACATGAAAGCGTCAGAAGTCAGTGAAGATGAAGAGGGATGAGTGACGAAGAGCTTGTGTCTTTATTAAGCCTCACTAACATCACAATGATAAATCTAAATTTAGGCTGCTTCAGACATGTTGGCTTCAGACGCTCGCCAGACTACGGACAAATTGTTGAAGGAATTCAGACGTGAAGATTAAATTCCATCTGAATGGAGAACATCTGGAATGCGCGCGTCGTTTAAAGTGTCAGATTTGATCACGAGTGAATATGAAGCCGATGCAAAAAAAACTACAGAAAACATCCAGAATTAAGTGTTTTGTCTGGAAGAAGAATCTGTAAATGTAATAGATTCACTACACGAGAGACTTTTGGACAAACACACACAGACACGAAATCGTCCCCAAACCAGACGCTCTGTTTCCTGCAGTCTGACACTCAGTGTTGTTGTTCAGATGGACGAGCGACACATAAACACATGGAAGCACATTGTGGCAGTGGACAGATGGCACGATTTGAGATTAGAGCAGGCCGGTTTTTTGTCTTTTGTTATTTCTCTGTATTCATTTTTTTTTATTGTTTATTTGAAATACATCATTACAGTGCCAAGTGTGAAATGTGTGGCAGCCAGCAAGTAGTGGAGAGGAAGCAGGAAAGATGCTTCTGTGTGTTCAGCTTTCACAAACTCGTCTCCTTCAGAGCTTCAGGTTACTCTGCCTGCTGGCACGTTCCGCTCCGCTGTGACTCACTGTACCTCCTCAATATGTGTGTAAAAAACATTGTATGTACCCATTTATCATAA